ATTGGCACCCACTAAATCACGTCCAACATTCAGTCCCTTCACCATTTATGCACATTACAGCACTGTGTGCTGTGTACAAAATGCATTCTAGAACCTCACTAAAGCTTTTTCAACAGCACCTTCTAAATCCTTGTCCTTCACCTAGAAGGACAGGGAGACAGTTGCTTGGGAATGCAACATCTGTAAGTTATCCTCCAAGCTATGCACCACTCTGACTTGGAACTAGATTGCCCAGTCCTTCACTGTCACTGGATTAAAGTTCTGGGTCTCCCTTCCTAATAGCACTATGGGTGCACCTACACACCAAGGATGGCAGGGATTCAAGGAGGCAACGATCTTCTCCAGGAGGGTATGAGGGACTATAGGGTGGGTAGGGAACAAAGGATAGTATGGATTGTAAGAAAGGTGAGATGGGAGTCAAGTAGTGGCATGGGTTGTCATGGATGGGGCATGGGTGTGCATACAGGGTAAAGGGGTAAGGACTAAAAGACTGCTTTTCATTTTAGACATTTTTCTCATAGCTTCAACAAAATACTGAAGCACCAAGGAGGGACTTTCACCCAAATAACTTTCAAAACTGGCAACCCCTGTGCCTGCTTCTGTTCTCCTTATGGATCTGAAGCAATGGTTTCCACTTTCATTTATCCCTGGAGCCAAAATCCAAAGTTCTGCGGCATTTTTTCCTGGATTAGGATTGTATAACCTGACTCTGTGTCATTGGATCACAAGTGTAAGTTCAGGCCTAACTGACTTGTATCCACTGTCTGTCCCCTTCCCACCCCATTGGGAATAAGAATTAAGTCTAATTTTTCACTGGCTAAAGAGTGAACACAACTAAGATTCACGTTAATGATACTAAGGCTCATTAGCACCATACAATCAAACAAGATATCATTATATCTTTGTAGTTAATTTTCCTTTATTAATTATGGAAAATAATAGATTTGAAAGTTCTTATAAAATAATTGAACTTTCTACTCTAAATAGCACAGTCTCAGACACAGCTCTACCTCAATTTATTGCCATAATGCTAGAGAATGTAGATATTCACCAAAGAGTACTTGCTGGTTTCTTGAACCCATGAACTGCTTTTGGCCTGTTAGCTTTAAATCTGTAAATCTAGGGGGGATAACATGAACATTAATGGAGAATGGCTAGTGTATGTTCGTAATTCCTGTTTTTACAGTGTTATTCTGCACAGGTATTGTCAGTGGTTTTAGGTCTTTTCCTTTTTAAGGGTTCGAGGCACCAAGGCTGGCCCTACATACAGCCTGCATCTGTACCCAATACCCCGTGTTGCTAACCCTGCATCTCTCCGTCCAATAGCACTGAGGCTAATTTCAAAGTTCTATTTTTATCTTTCTGAAATCTGCGAAGTGAGCATGAACTGGGGATTGAAAATGAAATTCTCACCCACACAGTATGGATTAGATATGGACTGTTCTGATGATCTATCAGGTTAGCATGGAGCAGTTTTGGAAGATCCAATTCAAGAGCGAACTATACGGTAAATGGAAAAGCCCTGGGGAAAATTGATGCACAGAGAGATCTGGGTGTTCAGGTCCATTGTACCCTGAAGGTGGCAACGCAGGTCGATAGAGTGGTCAAGAAGGCATATGGCATGCTTCCATTCATCGGACGGGGTATTGAGTACAAGAGTTGGCAGGTCATGTTACAGTTGTATAGGACTTTGGTTCGACCTCATTTGGAATACTGCGTACAGTTCTGGTCGCCACATTACCAAAAGGATGTGGATGCTTTGGAGAGGGTGCAGAGGAGGTTCACCAGGATGTTGCCTGGTATGGATGGCTCTAGCTATGAAGAGAGGTTGAGTAGATTAGGATTATTTACATTAGAAAGACAGAGGTTGAGGGGGGACCTGATTGAGTTCTACAAAATCATGAGAGGTATAGACGGGGTGGATAGCAAGAAGCTTTTTCCCAGAGTGGGGACTCAATTACTAGGGGTCACAATTTCAAGGTGAGAGCGGAAATGTTTAAGGGAGATACGCGTTGAAAGTTCTTTACGCAGAGGGTGGTGGGTGCCTGGAACGCATTGCCAGCAGAGGTGGTAGAGGCGGGCACGATAGCGTCATTTAAGATGCATCTAGACAGATACATGAATGGGCAGGGAGCAGAGGGATACAGATCCTTGGAAAATAGGCGACAGGTTTAGATAGAGGATCTGGATCGGCGCAGGCTTGGAGGGCTGAAAGACCTGTTCCTGTGCTGTAATTTTCTTTGTTCTTTGTTCTTTGTTCAGTTCCTTCCCTTGTGCAATCACAAAGGCAAAGCATTATTTGGGAAGATTTAAAAGAAACTGAACACTATTTGCAAAACCACACAAAGGCTGCAATGATGATCAAAGTGGAAATGTGAGATTTCATGTGATGGGAATCAGTAGCCATTGTTCACTTGGGAACCAAAGATATAGTGAAGAATAAGGTTCAGGTGTTAAGGAAAAGATGACTGGCCAGGATTTTCACTGTGGCATTTTCATGGCCTGGATCTATCAGATAGTCAGATTAAGCAACCAGTGTGTGTATCAGCACATGACGTGGGAGGAAGGATCTCAAAGCTTTGCTCTAGTCATGTGCTCCTTCAGAAATCTCAAGCTTTTTTTGTTGTACTACTAACTACGCCTTTGTGTACAGAATATTATTTGTTTGCATTTGAAAATAGCTTCTCTTTAGATTATGATTAATTGATTTTATTGATTGATTGATTTTATTGTCACGTGTATCAAAATACAGTGAAAAACTTAATTTTTGATTGATTGATTTTAGTGTCACGTGTACTGAAATACAATGAAAAGCTTTGTTTATGAGTGGTACAGGCAGATCACAGCAAGCAACGGATGTACAGATCAAAAAGACTTAGAGGAATACAGGTTACATTGTAGGTTACATTATTTGAGGCTAGAGTCCATTCAACAGTCTAATATCGGCCGGAAATAAGCTGTTCCTGAACCTGCTTGTGCGTGTGTTCAGACTCTTGTATCTTCTGCCTGAAGGAAGAGGTCGTAGGAGGTAATTACCAGGGTGTGATGGGTCTTTGATGATGATAGCTGACTTTCTGTGGCAGCGACCCATGTTAGTAGAGTCCATGGACGGAAGGTTGCCTTCCACGATATACTGGGCTGTGCACACCATCTTCTGTAGTTTCTTATGGTCCTGGGAGAGCAGTTGCTATACCAGGCCATTATTCACCCAGACAGTATGCTTTCATTGGTGCATCTGCAGAAGATGGTAAGGGTCCCTATGGACATGCCAAATTTCCTGAGTTGCCTGAGGAAGAAGAGGTGTTGTTGTGCCTTCTTGACTGTCGCATCTACATGGCAAGTCCAGGACAGGTTGTCAGTTATTGTGTCATTGCACTTTTTAAAAAATTCTTTGTCTTCCTGCATTGAAGATTTAGGTACAGTGCTATTTGTGAGCTATCTGTATTTTCTCATAGGTTATGTCAGAGGCACAAATTTGGAGTGTGTATTACATGTTTGAGTTCCTTTAGATGTGGTGTCTCCCACTTCCAGATTTTGTACCTCATGATTAGGTTTTTATTTTCATTGAAGTCATTTATTATGTTTTAATGATATTATAACCTTGTATTTGAACCTACTTGCCTTTCAGAAGATTTAATGATAAATATTGTCATAGGGCTAATGTAAACCAGTAAGCTGGTTCAGCATGTTCATATTATATGACAGAAAATAACATAATACTCAGTGCTTTTCTATAACACAAACTCAGCTGTTGCAACATGCTAAGCTTCAATTTTACAAATCCCTATTCACTGGGTCGAATTACAAAACAGGCTATATCACTCTTTGACAGTTTTCAGTCCAAATTTATGAAAACTAGCTTTTTCCAGCTGGTTCAGGAAGTGAAAAAATTGACCTCTGACCTTCAACAACTATATTTTAAGAATTGGCTGGATAAGATTAAGAAACTGACTTCCTTAGCAGCCACCTCTCACTGAAATGATTAAAGCCATTTCAATATTGCATAGTTGAATATAACTAGAATTCATAGAACCCTGGTAATTACCTCCTACGACCTCTTCCTTCAGGCAGAAGATACAAAATCTGAGCACATGCACAAACAGGTTCAGGAACTGCTTCTTTCTGGCTGAAATTGGACTATTGAATGGACTGTAGCCTCAAAAATGTAACCTACAATGTAACCTGTATGCCTCCAAGTCTTTTTGATCTGTACATCCTTTGCTTGCTGTGATCTGCCTGTACCACTCATAAACAAAGCTTTTCACTGTATTTCAGTACACGTGACACTAAAATCAATCAAACCCCATGGTGCCACACATTGCTATTGTATGTAAAACTCACAACCTTGTAATCTAGGTCCTAGCTACCCCGAAAGGCTGAATGAAGTTTCACCAATAGTTTGCATGTTACGTAGATTTAACATCATGCCACCTTACCCTTATCCTGTCAGGGAAATTATCCCTAGGATCATTGATTTCATACAATGTAGAAGCAGGCCATTCAGCCCATCAAGTTCACACTGACCCTCTGACAAGCATCCCACCCAGATCCACCCCAACCTATCCCTGTAACTCTGCATTTCCCTTGGCTTGTCCACCTAACCTGCACATCCTTGGACACTATGGCAAAGTAGCATGACTAATACACCTAAGCTGCACATTTTTGGATTGTGGGAGGAAACTGGAGCACCTGGAGGATATCCATGCAGACACAGGGAGAATGTACAAATTCCTCACAGACAATTACCCAAGACTGGAATCAAACCCAGGTCTCTTTGGTGCTGTGAGGCAGTAGTGCTAACCACTGAGCCACTGGCCGACTACAGATGTTGTGTATTTTATACTTCACCTTCTTTGGAAATAAGATCAATTTTTAGTTTATTGGGTTTGCTTATAAGACATTTGAAGTGGTCAACTGGAATTCATTGTATTGTTTAAGTTAAGATTATAAAGTTAAAACAGATACTAATGCTTTAACTCAATTCTTAATTTTCTCCTCAGTACGTGATCGAGTCAGGTCAAAAATGGAACGTGACATACTGGCTGAAGTCAATCATCCTTTCATAGTAAAATTGCACTATGGTAAGTTTTTGTGCTTTCCTTTCAAATTTGTTAGTGTAATTGATTCCATCGTTCCCATCATCAACATGAAAATCAGCAAGAAAGGGCTTTAAAATGTCTAACTTGGTTAAGCTAAAGGTGTTTTTAAATCCCTTTGAATATTTAGATCTAGACACAAAACACATTGTAACATGTCAATTTATGCCATAATTTGGAAATTTAAATCCAGTTATTCCCAGATTTCACCTGTTTTAGGAAAATAAAACCAACTTTTCTATACATTTATCTTAATTTAAATTCCTTGTAGTACCATGACTAATCTCTGCTCGTCAAAATGTCCTTTTAAATGAATAGGTTATAAAAAAGTATATGTTACGTGACTGAGGTCTAGCTTAAACTATATTCACCTTTCTTTCAACTGCAGGTATGCACTGAGGTGACGCTTTAATCAATTTAACCACCTTATGTCCTAAACTGCACTTTTCATCAGCTGACTGCATTATTGTTATATTTAGCTAATTCCTGTTGTTGGAATCTTATACCAATTAATTTTCACCATTAATAGTGAATTATATCATCTACTTATCACATTAGCTAAAAGATCTAGATGAAAATTTTGAACTGAGCTCAGTCCTTTATATGACAGGAGCAGACATTGGGAACTGGGAACAAATTTGCACTCAGCTTGATTTCTTATCTATTAACTTAGCACATAGTGGATCATTTGATGATGAATTGAATATAGTAATTGACTCACCAGAAATCCTGATGCTGCTCTCTCTGCATTACTCCCTAACTCAGCACATTTTCAGAGAAGGCATAATGCCAGGTAGACCCTGCAGAGAAAGAGAACTAAATAAGAAACTCAAGCCACTTTAATTTCCAGGCTTCATTAGGATTTGGCAAGCTTGTCTCCTGCAAAAACTGGCACAAGTATCAGTTCCAGTGGACTGGAGCTCAGCTCTGCTGAGGATGAAAGAAAATAGTCCTGGTATTGAATTAGTACTCAGGTGGAGTTTGAAAGAGATATTTGTAGAGGAAGGATGTTTCAGCATTTTATATCATGTTTTATTCATTCATGGATGTTGTCATAAATAGAAAACTACTTGTAATTGTATTTTATCATCATCAGAAGCATACATGCTTATATTCTCTTTTGATTTTTTTTTACAATCAATGAATGTTGAGCTTTTTGAAATACTCGCTGATTAATACTATGGTCTTTTCATGGAGTCACTGATGTGCAGAAAGATTTTCCTTTTTATCCACCCTTCATTGAAATGTAGAAACATGAGCAGGTTATTCAGCCCTTTGAGCCTGCTCTGCCATTCAGTAAGATCGTGGCTGATCCTCTATCACAATGCCCTACTCCCACTTTCTCCCAATACTCCTTGATATATTTAAAATCTACAAAGTGTATCTCTCTATTGAATGCATTTAGTGACATGGCCTCCATAGCCTTTTGTGGTTGAGAATTCCACAGGTTCACTATCCTTTGAGTGAAGAAATATTTCAGCATCTCAGTACAAAATGGTCTATTCTGTATCCTGAGACTATGAGCCTGTTTCTAGACTCCCCAGTCAGGGAATCCTCCCACCATCTATTCTGTCCAACCTGCTAAGAGTTTTATGTGTTTCAATCAGATTCCCACTTGCTCTTTTAAACACTAGTCAATGCAGGCACAGTTGAATCAATCTCTCCTCATAGGTTAGCCCTGCCAACCTCGGCATCAACCTAGTAAACCTCCATTGCAGTCTCTTTATGGTAAGTTTCTTGGGTAGTGTTATAAAGCCGAGGTTGACCCCCCCCTCTGAGAACCAAAATTGAAGCACCCAAAGAGAAGCACCTCACCCTATAATCTGTTAAAAGAAGCATGAAAAGGGGTGTAACCTGTCTTTCAGCAACTTCCAGTAGTTAAATCAAATAAATTTGGGTGTCATGGTGGCTCAGTGGTTAGAACTACTGCCTCACAGCACCAGGAACGCAACTTCGATTCCACCCTGGAGTGACTGTCTGTGTGAAGTTTGCACATTCTCCCCCGTGTCTGCGTGGATTTCCTCTGGGTGCCCTGGTTTCCTCCCACAGTCCAAAGATGTGCAAGGTAGGTGGATTGGCCATGCTAAGTTGCCCATAGTGTTCAGGGATGTGTAGATTAGGTGAGTTATAGGGGAATAGGTCTGGGTGAGATCCATTGAGGGTCGGTGTGGGCTTGCTGGGCCGAAGTGCCTATATGCACACAGTAGAGATTCTATGAAGTCCCTGATACTCATTTTATAATCAACAGGTAATAACTTATTTATCAATCTCTGACAGTGAACAAATTGACTAAACTACTAACAAACCAAACAAATCTCTACTAACTCCTAACTATTCCCAAATAACGCAAGATTCTAATGGTATGCTATTCCAATAAATACAAGTCCCACTTGTATAACAATACAATAGAATTTAGTCTCTCAAAATTACAGCCAGGTTATATCTTCCAGAATGTTCTGTGTCTTCTCCGTCAATTCTTCTGTCAGGAGTCTTAGCTAGGAGTGCCATGGTACTACTATGAATAGATAGTCCTTTCTCTGAGAGCTGAGAGTTGTTATCTCTAGCAGATGGCAGCTAGCTCTGCTGAGTTTCTAATTCCCCTGTTCTTATATACCCATGATGATACATCAATTTCTGTTTGGTCCTAGGTTGTCAAAACCATCAGATTCACATTTGATAGGTTTTTGGTATCTAAGTGCCTGGTTCAAATTGTTTGGCTAAATTCAAGAACCTGTTGTATTGGTAAAAATGCTGCTTGGCCTGCTAACGGTATAGCCTTTTGATACAAATGTTTCAATTTGGGTGCTCTCTGTACTCGCAAGCTTTCAAGCTCACAAACTTTTCCAAGCATAGACAAAGTACAATTTTTAAAGGGACCGTGCAATGCATTCCCCCCTAGCAGTTTTGCAAACACCAATATTTTACAGACACCAAATTCTAGCATCCTGCCTCCCAATCCACAAATACTGTACCCAACTTTGCAACCGTAGGGAGACCAAAACTGCATGCGGTTCCCAAGGTGTGGTTGCACCAAGGCCTGATATAACTGCACTAAGGCATTCCTGTTTCTGAATTGGAATCCTTTTGTAATTAAGGCCAATATACTTTTATTTTGCTTTCCTAATTGCTTGCTGCACTTGCCTGCTGACTTTAAAGAATAGTGTGCAAGGACACCCGAATCCCTTTGTATATCCACACTTCCCAATGTATCGCCATTTAAATAATATTCTTCCTTACAGGTTTTCACACAAAAGTGTATAAGTTCACTTTTAGTTACATTATACTGCATCTGCCATGTATTTGCCCACTCACCCTACTTGTCTAAATCACTTTGAAACTTCCTTGCCTCCTCCTCACAACTCACAATCCTCCCCAGTTTTGTGTCATCAGCAAACTTGGAAATGTTTAATTGTGTTCCCTCTTCTAGGTAATTTATATATATTGTAAATAGCAAATAGTAAATATATATTGTAAAAATTGTAAAAAGCACTGATCCTTGCTGTAGCCCAATAGCTACTGCCTGCACTCAGAAAAATACCCATGTATTCCCACATTTTGTTTTCTGTCAACCAGTTCTTGATCCAAGCCAGTACATTACTGTCTATCTCATGTGCTTTAACTTTGCCCATTAACCGCTTGTGAGAGACCGTATCAAAGGCCTTCTGAAAATCCAAATACATCATGTCAATTGGTTCTCCCCTATCTATTCTACAAGTTATGTTTTTTAAAAAATTCACTCATGGGACATGGGCATTGCAAGCTGTCCCTAACTGACATAGAGAAGTGGTGGTGAGCTGCTTTCTTAGATCGCTGCAGTCCATGTTGTGTAGGTAGATGGGCAATGCCATTAGGAATGAATTCCAGAACTTTGACCTGAAGGAATAGTGATATATTTCAGGATGGTGAGTAGCTTGTAGAGGAACTTGCAGGTTGTGCTGGTCCCATGTATTCGCTGCTTTTGTCCTTTTAGATGGTCATGTGCTGACTAAGGATCTTCAATAATTTGGTTTTGGTGTTTGGTGAATTCTCAAAAACTCCAATAGATTTGTTAGGGATAGTTTACCTTTCATAAACCCATGTCTTCTTTAATAGACTCCAACAATTTCTCCACTTTGCCTCTTTTTCTTGAAATTTCATATGTTTCCTCTTCAGATCTAATACTATCCCTAATCCACTTTGTAAACCATGGTTGAAACACATTTCGCTTTTAGTTTTGCACCAAATAGGAGTGAATAATTGTTATTTACGCATATGTTCTTTAAATATTAACCATTGTCTATCCAACATCAACCCCTTTAATAAGTTTCTCCAATTCTTTCCTAGCCAATGTGCAATTCATGCCCTCATAATTCTCTTTATTTAGATTTATCTGTTGCATAGAGTCATAGAGTCATACAGCACAGAAACAGACTTTTCAGTCCAATTCGTTCCCACCGACCAGACATTCCAATCTGACCTAGACCCATTTGCCAGCATTTAGCCCATATCTCTCTAAACCTTTCCTATTCATACGCCCACCCAGATACCTTTTAAGTGTTGTAAATGTATCAGCCGCCACTACTTCCTCCAGCAGCTCATTCCATACACACATCACCCTCTGTGTGAAAATATTACCCCTCAAGTCCTTTGAAATCTTTCCCCTCTCATCTGAAACCTATACCTTCCAGTTTTGGATTCCCCTACCCTAGGAAAAAGACCTTGCCTGCTCACTGTATCCATGCCCCTCATGATTTTATAAACCTCTATAAGGTCACCCCTCAGCATCTGATGCTCCAAGGAAAAATGTCCCAGCCTATTCAGCCTCTCCCTACAACTTAAATTCTCCAGTCCTGGCAACATTCTTGTAAATCTTTTCTGCACCCTCTCAAGTTTAACAACATCCTTCCAGAAAAAGGCGATCAGACTATGCACGATATTCTAAAACTGTCCTCACCAATGTTCGGTGCAGCTGGAACATGACGTCCCAAGTCCTATACTCAATATTCTGATCAATGAAGGCAAGTGTGCTAAATGCTGCCTTCACCACCCTGTCTGCCTGCAACTTCACTTTCAGGGAACTATGAACCTGCATCCCTAAGTCTCTTTGTTCAACAATACTCCCCTGGCCGCTACCATTAATTGTATAAGTACTGCCCTGTTGCCTTATCAAAATGCAACACCTCACAGTTTTCTAAATTAAACTCCATCTGCTACTCCTCAGCCCATTGACCCATTTGATCAAGCTCCCCTTGTACTTTGACTACACTCAACTACACCACCTATTTTGGTGTCATCTGCAAAGTTACTGACCATGCCTCCTATATTCACTTCCAAATCATTTATATAAATGACGAAAGGCAGTGGACCCAGCACTGATTCTTGTGGCATCTGGGCAGGACCAGGGCAAATGTCCCAGGAACCTGAATCTCTCCCTCCCACACCATTTCTCCAGCCATATAATTCATCTGTTATTCATCTGGAATGCTTTCTCATTCTTTGCTACATGAAATAAACCATTTCTATATCTTTGGTTATATTCTCTCCACATTAGGCCACTTTCCCATACTTTTTCCTGCTTTCTTAATTTCTTCCTAAATTTAATGCTTTTTCTAGTAGTTATTTCAATGCTTTAAAAGTTTATAAATAAAATTATAAAATCAGGTTGATTCCCTTTTGTCTCACCTGCAGCATTCCAGACTGAAGGAAAATTGTATCTGATTTTGGATTTCCTAAGAGGCGGTGATCTTTTTACAAGACTATCCAAAGAGGTAAGTTAGCAAAAATTTTAATGCCCACTATTACAAGAGAAAATCCTCAGCAGTGTCAAGACTCAATTGCATCTCAGGTCCAGCATACTGAATGTCCATTAGTGTTTTAGCAGAGTTTCCAAATTCTATCAAATATCCAGTTTTGTTTAGAGATACATGGTTACTTACTTTTGTGAAAGTTGCAACATATGACTGTTGTTTAGAAAGTTTGAAACCTGATAGTTTTCTCTAATGTCTTAGACAGCAAAGAATTGTTGCATTTGAGCATGTTAATACAATCTTACCACATCCTTTGCTTGAAAGTAATACGTGTAATACATTTGTTGAGTGTCACATTGTCATGTGGGAAGTCAGAAAGCGGGGCTTCAGATCAACAACAAATATTAGAGGTAATTGAAATGGAGAGGCATCTGAAGCCACTCGAATTTGACTTTCAGTAATTAATTTTGTTGATTTTTCCCACTAATCTACAGTGAGTTGTGTTGATTGAGAGAGCCAGATTAGCAAAGACATTCAAGAGCTCCCTATCCGCCTTCCAACAATGTGGTGAAAGTTTTTATATTCACCTGAATCAACAAAATAATTAAATGGATTCCTGGCTTTACTTCTTATCTGAAAATTCCATTTTATACTGAGAATTGTAAAAGAAATTAAGATCCAGTTATTTGACATAAACTAGCTAGAAAATATTAAACTCAATAAAATGCAATATAGCTTTAATCTCAAACTATGTCATTCAGAGATTGGGTACCACACTGGGTTAATATGCTGCTCTTTTCTTCTTGAAACCTCGAGGCCAGAACTAGTATGGTTTGGGGAAAAATCTTTAATTCTCCCAGAAATGCATGATTTTTCTGCATCTGAGAGAAAGATAATAAAGCTGTTTTCCAAAAAAAGTCATTAATTCCCAAGAGCCAATAGAAAGTGCAATTCCCCATTTAAGTGATAAACTGCTCATACAATGCTTACTGAAGAATTCAAAATATTGTAAAAATCAACCAAAGGTCAAATTAGAGTGGCTTCAAGATGCCTCTTTCCTTTTTGCGCCTTTACTTCCTGTATAGGCTCTAATTTGCCTCTGCTTGGTGTTTGGCGCACCATGCAGAGGTGACAGCCCGCTGGTATAGTCACTGCGCTCACAATCCAAACACCCAGGTAATGCTGTGGGGGACCACACAGGTGGTAGAATTTGAAATCAAAAAAATCCAGAATTAAAAGTCTAATGATGACCATAAAACCATTGCATACTATTGGAAAAATAATGTCTGCGTGTGTGTGCAAATACAAAAGTATGCTCGCAAGAGCACATGAGAATGTAAATACACAAGAGGCAGAGTTATGTGTGCACTAGAGCCAAAGTGTGCTTCCATAAGAGGTAGAGTGTGTGCAGCTGAGAATGTGCGTGCATCAGTGCAAGAATATGTGGGCCCATGATTGCAAGAATGCATATAAGAATGTGAATGCACATGTGAAAATGCATGAGAGAATGTGTGTGTGTGAGGGAGTGTGTGCATACACAAATGTGTCTGTGAGGGAATGTTTGCACACACATACGCCTGAGTGTGCATGTGCACAAGTTTGAGCATATGTCGACTCACGAGAGTGAAAGTGTCTGTGCACAAGTGCCAGAGTGCGCAAGGGAGTGTGTCTGTTTTTGTCAATGAGTAAAAACATATGTCTGAGAGTGCGAGAATGCATGTGCAAATGAGCAATTGAGAGTGTGTGTGCAGAAAGGCAATAAGGGAGTCACAAAGTTATGTGCACAGAGTGAGTGCAACAGAGAAAGAAAACCAAAAACACACACAGCTTCCCCTCCTGTTCTCCAAAATCTACCTCAGATCAGACTGGGAGAGTTGCTAACTCAGGTTGAAAGGTAACCTGCTTCCAACCCCACCAAGGCCAGTGGATGTTGCCTATATGGATTTTAAGAATGTGTCTAATAAAGTAGCACATCAAATTCTAATTAACACACCTGGGGGACTATAAGTGCCCATTTGATTAAAAAAAAATTGGCTTTGGGGCAGAAAACAGGGAATCATAAATGGGCAGCACGGTGGCCCAGTGGTTAGCACTGTTGCTGCATAGCACCTGGGTTTGATTCCAGCCTTGAGTGACCGACTGTGTGGAGTTTGCACATTCTCCCTGTCTCTGCGTGGATTTCGTCTGGGTGCTCCGGTTTTCTTCCACAGTCCAGAGATGTTCAGGTTGGGTGGATTGGCCCTGCTAATTTGTTCCATAGTGTCCAAGATGTGCAGGCTATATTGATTAGTCATGGTAAAATTCTGTATTACAGGGATAGGGTGGGATGCTCTTCGGAGCATCGGTGTAGAGTCGATGGGCCAAATGGCATCTATTTGCACTGTAGGGATTCTATGAAATGGCTATTTTTCAGACTGGACTACAATAAACTGTTATTCCCCCAGAACAATGATTTCAACAGGAAATTGGAGTTGTCTTGATGCAAATAAATATGCAGAACTATGGGATTGAGCAGGAAAGTGGGACTTTCTGGATTACTCCATTGGATGATTGAATTCCACTGTGCTCTGTTACCCTATAAAGGTGACTCAATCACCATCAAGCAATTTTTTTGGTTGAATGGTTTTCTATTATTCCTTTGAATGATATAAAAATGGGTAGAAAATTGGTTTTGGAGATGCAAACGATTAAAGATACTTTTAAAAATTGTGAAAATACAAATAAAACTAAGTGAGAAAGAACTGTGACTTGAAACAAAATTGTTTATCTGAAGTAAAACAAAGAACTGTGAATGCTGGAAGTCTGAAACAAAAACAGAAATTGCTGTAGAAGGTCAGCAGGATTGGCAGCGTCTCTGGAGAGAAAGCAGAGTTAACATTTCTGATCCAGTTGTGACGAAGGGTCACTGGACCTGAAATGTAAACTCTGCTTTCTGTCCGCAGATGCTGCCAGATCTACTGACTTTCTCCAGCAATTTCTGTTTTATTGATCTGGAGGCCTGCATTCTCTTTTTGAATGTCTGTCATATTAAATATCTTATACTGTGCTTAAGCATTATAAAACATTCGATCATTTGAGAAGCATGAAATCCTTCATGTGTCAAATAGTCAGTTAACCACTAATTGCATCACATTCTTCTGGCAGGTGATGTTTACAGAAGAAGATGTCAAATTCTATCTAGCTGAGCTGGCCTTGGCTTTAGACCACCTGCATGGCCTTGGGATCATTTACAGGGACTTAAAACCAGAAAAGTAAGAAATGTTTCTCTCACTCATTCAGACAAAATAACATTTATGAGATTGGTCCTAGGAGCTGTACCTACATCTTTCTTGAGCGTCTTCAATGTTTTGGACTGGAGAGTTCTTGTGGCAGGGATTCTGCAGTCTCACCACTCTCTGGATGCAGTGGTTTCTCCTCATCTCTGTCCTAGGTGGCCTATCCATTGTCCTTACATTGTGACCCCTGGTTCTGGGTTCCCCAGTCACCGAAAACATCCTTCCTGCATCTTCTTGTATAAAGTTCTTAGCTTACCACTTTAAATGTGCCTAACCACTAGCGCTTCAATCCAGTTCAAAACACTGCAGGCAGATCAAGTTTGTAAAGATAGGCTTATGTATAACATAGCTTGCATTTATACAGTACCTTTACACTCTGTGAATACTTTTGTACATTAATCAGACAAAAGTTGCCACCAAGTCAAAGGAAGTGTTAAGAGGACTGACTAATCTGCATCACTCTTTTAAAAGAGGGGTGAGGTGGGAGATTTAAGGAGGTAATTCCAGAGCTTGGAGTCTGGATGGTTGATGGCCGAAAGCACAACTGACTGAATCCTAATGCTGTTGCTTCCGTAATTTTCATTTGTCGGCAGTAGATAGCTGCAAAGCATTTTAATATTATGTAAATTATTGATACAAAAGTTCAGGGAAAGTTTTCAATTGAAAATAAAAACATTTGATGACTCCAATCTCCAGTAAGTATCATATGTATTCAAAGTAAAACTGCAGGATAGCATCACAATGAAGGAATTTAAAATTGTTCTACAAGTGAAAGAAAGAAGCTGGAACAAAAAAGACAGAATCTGTGCTACTTATGAGCACTTCAGAAATTACTTGACAACTAAACAGATAACTGGACAAAGAGACTTTCAAACTGTTGGGGAACATGGCCGGTATGGACTAGTTGGACCGAAAGGTCTGTTTCCATGCTGTATGACTCAATGACTCTATAAGATGTGCACAAAATTCTGATTACTTCCATGCATGACTTAATTTAAACTAGGCAACAAGAGTATTTGTTTTGCTTTTGTTCCGTTTCTAACATGGAATATATTTTTAAGAAACTTACTGAGAAGTGTGGCTTCTTTTGTGTTTGCAGAAGCCCAAACAAATACACAAATTGATGTAGTACATATTCACATGTATAAAGGTGCACACATACACGTAATATACATATACAATAACTGCCACCAGCCTGTTAATTCCAGTGTACTGTTGACTGCATTGCCACCATTGGTACTCTATCAGTGTAAAAGGGTCTCTGTAGATTGTTTGTCTCCAGTGTAAAGAATGTGTCCTTATATTTTTCTGTATTTTTAATTGCCTGAAATGGGAATGGAACTGTTTTAAAGCAAAGGATTGGTGAAAGATTGCAACATATTTGAAAGCAACAAACCTGACACTCATTGTAAGCACTAAATTAAAACAAATAAACTGCAGATATTGGAGATTTGAAGCAAACAAGAACAGAAATTGCTGGAGAAACTCAGCAGGTCTGCCAGTATCTGTGGAGAGGAAGCCGAGTGAACATTTTGAGTCCAGTTACCCTTCTTCAGAATTGATAGCAGCTGGGAAAAGATGATATATATGCTGATGACAGATAGTGGTGGTGTTGGGAGAGTGGAATAAGTGGATAGGTGGAGATGGAGCCCTGAGAGAAAGAGAAAAAAAGGTAGACAGACAAGTAGATTGTTGATAGTAAGCCAGAGAAGGAGAGACAGACAGGCGTTAATGGGGACTGTGAGTAGTTGAAAATGGGTAGGCTATGCTGCAAGCAAACCATGTCATGACAGGACCTGTGTGTCGGGTAGGTAGTAGACAAGGAGTCGGGTGTTCATGCTCTGATATTCTTAAACTCAATTTTGAGTCTTGAAGGTTGTAAAGTCTCAAAGCAAAAGATGAGATGTTGTTCTTCCAGCTTGTGTTAAACCTTGCTGGAGCACTGTAGTAGGCCTGAGACAGAAATGTTAACATGGGAACAAGATGGTGTGTTGAAGTGGCAGGCAATTGGAAAGTCAGGGTCATTTTTACAGACAAGACATAGATGATCCACAAAGCAGCCATCTAGTCTGCATTTTATTGTCCTAATTCAGTGGATACCATATTGTGAGCAACAAATATAGTAGACTAGATGGAATAAAGTACAGGTAAATCATTGGAAAGTATGTCTGGAGCCTTGGATGGTGAGAACAGAGGAGGTAAATGGGCAAGTGTTTTACATCTTTGTGATTGCATGGGAAGGTGCCATGGGGTGTGGGAGGTGTTGGGAGTGGAGGAGAAGAGAATCAGACCAGAGGGAACAAGCTCTGCAGAATGCAGACGAAGGAGGGGAGGGGAGTATATGTCTGGTGGTGGCATCTGCTGGAGGTGGTGGAGTATGATCCTTTCAATGTGGGTGGGGTAGAAAGTGAAGACTGTTGCTGCTGTAGGAAGGAAGAAAAGGGATGAGGACAGAAGTGTGGGAAATGTGCTGAACATGGCTGAGGGTCTTGTCAACCACGGTAACAGGGAATTCTCAGTTGAGGATAAAGGTGGACTTATTGTAAGCACTGTTTTCCACAGTTGCTAGTTCTAGCAGCAGCAGATGAGCTGGAACCAAGAGCATGTACAAATGGAGATTCAGTGGGCAACAAGTAGCTGATTGGTCTGTGAACTAGTAATCAGTTATTGATAAGAAAAGCCTTCTGCCTTCCAACGACTATATGAATAGTACTCAGCTGGACAGATTGATGTTGTACACATGATAACAAGAAGGTCATAGATCTGCACCAGCTCAGGATGCTGTCTCAGTTCTCTGCAGTAAAATCCACTTTACACATAAAGGAGACCAGTTTGATTTTCCTTTATCAGTTGCTATAAGCTATGACTTTTAGTTAATGAGCCAGAGAGCTTTTCTAAATGTGAACCAGCTGCCTTTTGCCTTCCAAAAACCAGCGGAAGCATCTAGAGAAGGAAAACCAAGAAATAATGTTCTGATCAGCACAAAAACCATCTCAGCATATCCTATGAAAGAGACACTTAATCACTTTCCCTGCTTTCCTGACATCCATAACACCCATGTGGTTTTTTTGGATCTGTGTATGTAAGGGGGCATTTAGAAGGTGGTTAGAGTTTTAAATAATAGAGTTAAATACCAACAGTTCATAATTGTTTACCTGTAGCTAGAATCTATTTGCTTACAATAAATAGTAATTCTTATAAAGTACATAAAACTTGTCATGCTTTTTGTCAACTGGGTCTAAAACACAATTGTGACATTCCACATAATTTTATTAAAATATCCAACTTTTGTGATGACTCCAGGAAGACAGGGTTTGACTTCCAGTGCAGTTCCCAAGTGAGACCATTCTTAGCTGGTAAGCAACGTGGAATAAGAGAAATGCTGTATTTTTATTGCACGCTCAAATCTAAAAAGGAAAGAGCTGAGCTGTTACATTGGCACAAGGTACTTTGCCAAAATTACTGAAGTATGAAGTAAATTTTCCTGCTGTATGATGTGATCCCATAGGAAAAATCTTGCACCAGAACTATGCATGTTGTTTTCTAATCAAGGTTCTGCACAAGTATATTGTGTAATGTCACTGCTTTTCATTTCTATTCATTAGAAATGAATCCACATGTTTTCTGAGCATTTTTATGACCTTGTTAACTGGTTTTGCAACTTTCAATGATTTGTGAATATACATCCTTTACTCCAGCATCTCAGATAAATTCTTATTTTGCAAGCCATTTTTTACCTCCTATCAAAATGCACCATCTCACATTCACCTGTATTAAAATTATATTGCCATTTATACACCTATTCTTTAAATTTATTAACTTTATTTTTCCATTTGTCTTTGTCTTGCTTTCTATTAGCTGTATTCCCCAATTCATGATTTGGAACTATTGAAATGGTATTTCTGATCCTGAACCCAAAAACGTTTATGCAAATTGTGAACATCTGTGGTCCCACCAGCAATCCTTGTAAAACCACTCTTCCTATCTTTTAATAACCTGAATAGCTACCCTTAATTTCTGTTTTATATTTTGTAGTCGTTTTGCTACTCCACATGTTCTGATCTTAATTCACATATCAATGTTAAGCTAATGTCTACAATTTCCACACTTGTTCTATTTTTCTTTTTAAACATAGTAATAACATTGGCCGTCCACTTCTTCCTCGGTAGTGTAATTTTTTTCTAATGAATATATGATAGTGTTTATACTATCATTTCTTTAGCTCCTTTTACTATGCATAGTTGTAATCGTTCCACACCAGAGGTGTTGATTTTTCTAATGTAATTCTATGCAATAAAACTGTTGAATTTATTTATAAGCAGCAGATTGAATAAAGAGTCTTGTCACTGAAATCCTCAATACTCAGCATTCTTCTTAGTAAAATGTTTTTCAACTCTGCTATTATATTTTCACAATTGGCTTCAACAGAACTTACCCTGTTGCTTTTGTGGATTACCTCAGATGTTTGTTAAATTGAGACAAAAAGAAATCACCCTTCCAGAGCTCACCCAGATGTAAAATTAAGGCTGGATTTAAAATCTGTAGCAGTATCTTAAGGAAGGTATCAAAAACCTGAAGCTTGTCTGCAACAAATTTCTGCTCAAACTTCTTGTAACAATGAAATAGCTAAAGCATCTGGAAGGAAACATACCCTCTCTTTGAGACGTGAATTCCGTTTTAAATAGGCTTGTGCCTAATCTACAGAAAGTTGAACCTCTAAAGTTTCTGGTTATGTCAGATAATCCATTTTGAAACTCGCCAGTGAGGCATTTGGTATTGAATGTGGGGATGGTCTTGTGTCACAAACTTGATTGAGTTTTTCAGGACATGAAGGAGATGGTTGATGAAGTTAAGGTAGTGGATGCTGTCTACATGGATGTCACTAAAGCATTTGACAAGGTGCTTCATGGTAGGCTGATTCAGAAGATTCAATCACATTGGATCCATGATGAGTTGGTATGTTAGATATAAAATTG